AGCTGCAGGCAGCAGAGCAGGAAAACAAGGATACAACTTCAGCATATGCCCAAGTGTTTGTTGCACAAAGGGGGAGAGGTCAACGTGGTAGAGGATATGGTGGAGGCTATGGTGGCAGAAACTTTAGCTCCAGAGGTAGAGGGTTTGTTCAGGCTAGCAACTACAATCATAATTGGTCCAGCAACAACAGAAATAGTATAGCCAACAACAACCCACCTCCACAGCAAACCATGTCACAGAAATACCAACAGAAAAGCTTACCTCAGAAAGATGGAAGCGTGTGCCAAATATGCAAAATTGCTGGACATAATGCTTTAAAGTGTTGGTATCGATTTGACCATGCCTACCAAAGTGAAGAAATTCCTCAAGCATTGGCGGCACTTACCATAATGGATGACAAAGACAAAAGTACCTATATTGATACTGGTGTCACTGATCATATGACCTCTGATCCAGGTAATCTCTATACTAAAAGACAATATAATGGAAACCAAAAAGTTTTTACAGGTGATGGAACTCCACTTCATATTTCTCATATTGGTTCAGCATCTATTGGTTCCTTAAATCTTAATGATGTACTTGTTGTTCCTGAACTCAAGAAAAATCTGTTATTTGTTAGTAAGTTTACTGATGAAAATCCTTGTGTGTTTGAGTTCTCATCTAATGGTTTTGTGATCAAGGACCAAGTAACACAAGCAGTGGTGGCCAAAGGAATTAGGAAAGGACAACTTTATGCACTGGAAGAAGAAGAGAAGCATGCCCTTGCAGCAATTTCAAATAAAGCTACAGATTCCATTTGGCATCAAAGATTAGGACATCCTAATTCTAATGTGCTAGAAGCTTTAGTCATGAAAAATGATATTGTAGTATCAAAATGGACTAAGCCCTCTCATTTATGCTCTAGTTGTCAAATGGGGAAGAGTTGTAAGCTTCCTTTTAATAAAAATAATGAAAGAGCAGTGGCTTTGTTTCAAAAAGTTCATTGTGATTTGTGGGGGCCTTCTCCAGTTCAATCTACTAACCACTTTGTTTATTATGTGATTTTTGTGGATGATTTCAGCAGGTTTACTTGGTTTTATCCTTTGCATAAGAAGTCTGACTTCTTTGATGTTTTTCAGAAATTTCAAAAGATGCTAGCAACACAATTTGACAAAAACATCAAAATTTTTCAATGCGATGGTGGTGGTGAGTTCTCAAGTAAGGCTTTCATTAATCATCTAGCAGCTTGTGGCATTAAATTACAGGTATCCTGCCCTGGCACTCCGGAATAGAATGGGGTTGCAGAAAGAAAACATCGACATATAGTCGAGACAGGTTTGACCATGTTAATTCATGCTAATATGCCACCCCATTACTGGGTTGATAGTTTCTTTACAGCAGTATTTCTTATTAATAGAATGCCTACACCTAATTTGAACAATAAAACTCCTTATTTTCTCTTATATGGCAAGTCACCTGATTATTCTATGATAAAGGTGTTCGGATGTAGATGTTTTCCATATCTCAGGGACCATGCTGCTCATAAACTTCAGCCAAGGTCTTTGCCTTGTGTGTTCATTGGATATAGCTCAATTCACAAGGGATACAAATGTTTGCATCCCTCTACAAAACGAGTATATATATCAAGGCATGTAGTGTTTGATGAGTTTTTTCTTCCATATACTGATCTAACAAGAATTTCAGGAAAT